GAGGAGAAGAGGAGGAGGAAGAGAAAGAGAAGGAGGAAGTGGAGGAGGAGAAGAGGAGGAGGAAGAGAAAGAGAAGGAGGAAGTGGAGGAGGAGAAGAGAAGGAAGAAGAGAAAGAGAAGGAGGAAGCGGAGGAGGAGGAGAAGAGGAAGAGGAAGAGAAAGCGAAGGAGGAAGAGGAGGAGGAGAAGATGAGGAGGAAGAGAAAGAGAAGGAGGAAGAGGAAGAGGAGAAGAGGAGGAAGAGAAAGAGAAAGAGAAGGAGGAAGAGGAGGAGGAGAAGAGGAGGAGGAAGAGAAAGAGAAGGAGGAAGAGGAGGAGGAAGAGAAAGGAGGAAGAGGAAGAGAAAGAAGGAGGAAGAGAAAGAGAAGGAGGAAGCGGAGGAGGAGAAGAGGAGGAGGAAGAGAAAGAGAAGGAGAAAGTGGAGGAGGAGAAGAGGAGGAGGAAGAGAAAGAGGAGGAGGAGGGGGAGGAGGAAGAGAAAGAGGAGGGGTCCTTGGTGCTCTCTGAACCTGATAGATTTATTGCAGATGTTTCATTATCCAGCTAGGGAATATCGTCAGTGCTAGAAGGGAGGAGGGTTTGGGGAGAAGAGGAGGAGGAGGGGGAGAGTGGAGTTCTTGGTGACCTGACTGGCTGTCTAATTTCTTCAGCCTTCTTAAAGGTCTACCCAACATTTCTTTCATCTGTCAGGTTGGAAACACGATGCTCATCATCTTTGTGAGTTATTTTGGGAGCCGGGTCCACCGTCCACGGTTCATTGGCTGCGGTGCCATCCTCGTTTCTGTGGCTGGATTGGTCATTTCCCTTCCACACTTCGTCTCACCGCCTTACGAATACGACCAGTCCATTTCTGGTAAGGACTTTCTAGAAGCTTCTATGGAAATTCTGCGCCCTCCGGGTCACGGTTGTTCCGAAGACAACTGGACCTTTATTTTATTTTTTCCCCTTGAAGAGTTTTGGCTTCTCATTCAAGAAGCTTCTTCAGTTCTGACTGGATGGTGGGGGAATAGAAGGATTTCTATTTCTTGCAGTCATCTGGTCATTGGTATTCTTTCTGAGAATCCTTGAGGCCCTCGGGGTGCCCTGAATACTGCAAATGGGTGTGGAACTGCTAAAAGGATTGGGTTGTAGAGAGGAGTGGTGTCTCCTGGGGGTGTCGTACTCCTCTCCCTCTGTTGAGACAGGGCTGTTCAATCTTAATGTAGAGATGGACCCTTTGATCCCTCTTCCAAACCAGCGGCCCTCTCTGTCCAGAAAGTGGAGTTTGCTGCCTTCAAAAGCTTGGCATTTGTCTTTCAAATGCAGGTGGACGCCTGAATCTCGTCCTGGTGGGTTTGTTCTCCTATGCTGGGCCTTGCGCTTGTGAAGTGGGCTGTTTTGTTTCCCCAATGCACAGATCTGTACGTGTTTTCCCTGCATTGTGTCAACTCTGAAGCGAACCTGGCTGAAGCCATCTTGTGCTGCCTCATAGTTTCCCCGAAGGCTGAGAAGGGGAAGGGAGAGGGGAAGTAGCTGGCCCAGCTAACCGTCAAAATAAAAAGTCAGGGTTCCAAAGAGCATCCAAAAGTCAATCAGAGTCTGAGGCAAAGTATTGCTCAAAGTTCCACTTTATGAAGAGAGCCACGCTGGCACATCTGGGAAAACCCGAATATGTGAAAACTTCCCGATTTTCCCCACCCAGTTGCAAGTTCAAGATCTTTCCCCCATGCCCACAAGTCCATCCCATGGTCCAATCTCCCACTGCCACGCTGGCAGCTTCC